ATTTTTATATCATTTTGTGCCTTTCTCCATCTTAGCTGCAATCCCCATGGACTTCCATCACCAATTCACCTGTGTGCCATCACCATAGACCTGTGCACTCCCCCCACCCCATTTTTGATCCCATTCCCCACTCCAACCCCATAAAATGTCTCTGATATATAGTTTTTCATTATTATTATTTTTGAAAAAAGTTTTTAAGTCATATTTGGTTTGCAGATTTGTTGCTTTTCATTTTTCTTTTTCGACTAAGGATTCAATTGTGTGCAAGTCTATTTAAAATCCATCTTTCCTCATCTACCCCTATACCTTTGATGAGTAATTTTCTTTTTATTTAAAAAAAATCTATTTTACACCATCTCTTTCTATATAGCTTTATATTTTTTGCCACAAAGTGAAATGATAGGCAGGCAAATATATAAAGCAGTCCCTTTTTTGTTTATCACATATATATAATTTGGTACACATTTGAGTGCTTATAAATTAGTAATATAGTAATTCTATTATATACACATTATTTAATTATTTAGAAATACAGTGAGAAAATAGGTCACACTGTTTGTTCTAATCTTATATGTCCTTTATATCATCATGTATAGAATTAGTGCATTTAGAAGTTTTGGTTTTTTGATTATGATATAGAAGAACAAGTACAGTGTGGAGTTTCCTGAACTTAATTTTTTGGGTAAGATTTATGCATTTTGTTCATATAAGAACTGGGGTATAGGTCAGGGGTGTGGGCGTGAGAGGATTCACCAGAGAAAGAGTAGGAAGCAGAACAGATTAACTGAAATCCACTGCTGAAGGGAGCAGCGGGCAAGACTGGAGAGGTCTGCTGTGCCATGTGGGTCTCTTGCCTGGCTGGGGATCAGACTCCTTGCTGCAGTGGCTACAGATAGCTTCATAGTGCTGCATGCCACCAGGGAGAGCCTGAATTAATTTTTTTTATCCTTTGTTTTTAGTGAAATACGAAGTATTTAATGTGTAGTAAATAATTGATACATGTAAGATTTGTATATGAGAAATTTTAATGATTTAAATTGAAAATTTTTTTTAAAGATTTATTTATTCATATAGAACTGGGGTACAAGCCAGAGATGCGGAGGGTGAAAGGATTCACCAGAGACAGAGCAGAGAGCAGAACAGGCAGATCGACGAAGTAACACTGCTGAGGGGTGCAGCGGGCAGGTCAGGATTGGTCTGCAGCGCCATGTGGATCTCCTCCGGGACAGGCAGGGATCGAACTCATGAGAAAGTGGCTTAAACTTCTTAGTGCTGTGCTTTAACCTGCTGCGCCACCAGGGAGGGCCCACACATTGAAAATTTAATGTATGGAAATGCCTGCTTAAGTTTTGGGAAGATGTATTTATGCTCTGGGAAGTAGCATATTGTATCACTTAAAAGTTGAAGCTCTGACATCAGACTGCCTGATTTTGAACCTTTATCTTGAGCAGGTTACCACTGAATGCACTGTGTTTCAGTGTGTGTACATTGTGTGTGGTGGGGATAAGAATAGGCACACAAAACTACTGGGTGAAGCTAAATGTGCTAGTGTTACAGTGTATTGTACTGTGTATTGTACTGCACCCAGGAGTGAGTGTTGTCTTGTTTTTTATAACAGCAAAAGATAAAAACTCTGGTAAACCAACCCTGGGGAAAGAGAAACCACTGTGTGCTATAGAGTACACAGATAGTATGTCAGGAAAAGATACTCGTGATCGATTTAGTGAATTGGGTGAAGATTGTACAGGTGAAGCAGTGATGCCTAAGGGTATGTGTGTGCACTAGAGAATAATCAAGAAGCTAGTCACAAAACTGAAGTTGTTCAGTTTTGGTTTTTGTGTGTGTGTGTGTGTGTGTTATAAGGACCTTTGCTTTTTCCATTGTGCATTTCTGCACTTTGAAAAATTTCAGTGACTACCTTTATGAATTTATTAACAGAGAATTTAAGGACCAGAAAACACTGGGTTAGTAATATCTCATTCATATAGTCTGTTATAAATTTGCTAATTGACTATAATACATCTACTACATGATTTTTTTAAAGAGATTATTTATGCATACAGGAACTAGGGTGCAGGCCACAGGTGTAGGGTGGTAAGAGGATTCACTGTAGACAGTATGGGGAGCAGAATAGACAGATTGACAGAAACACACTGCTAAGGGAAATAACAGGAGACCGGAGAGGTCTGCTGCACTGTGTGGGCCACCTCCCTGTCGGGGGATCACGCTACAGTGGCTCTTGATAGCCTCATAGTGCTGTGGCGTAACTTGTGCCACCAGGGAAGCACTGATGTACTACATGATTTAAGCTCATTTATGGAAATTACAAAGTATCAAAAGCCAAGCTAGTTCCTTCATTAAGTGTTCATTGAGCAATTACTCATAGAATAGAAGAGGAAATTTGTGTGGGCTAGCCAGGGGAGGCTGAATTGAAGAGGTGACTTCTGAATTATGTTTTGCAAGACTAATATAAATTTGTAAAGGGGTAGGGCAGAAGGATGTCTGTGGCAACAGGAACAGTACATATAAAAGATGGCTTGATTTTTATAAAAAATTGTAGGCAGGAAATTGAGCATGTAAAGAAGACCTAAATTGTGAGTTCATCCGAGTTCATCCAACATTTTCCTGTTGGTGATGGTGAACATGGGAAGTGATTTTTCATAAGATGGCAAGTGGCATGAAAGTATGTTAGTATTTAAAAAGAAAAACCTGGTGATTTATTTGCTTGGAAGACACTTAGAATGAGGAGTGATGCACTGAAGAAGTAAACTATCATGATTGAGGCAAAGCAGCAGTAACTTTGATGACTGGATTTTTAGACTGAATTCTTGGAAATGGACTGAAATAGATTGGAGACATTGTAAGTGAAAGCTACAGAATCAGATAGATAAAGCAAATAGGGGAAGTTGGTTTTCACCCAAGATACAGTCTACATTCCAACTCAGGCAGCTCAGGTAGGGAGCATATGTGTTGGAATCTCTAATGAAGTTGCTTGGGTTATTGATTTAAGGTTCCTAAAAACATCCATTTATTCTGTTGACTTGATCATCATCATGCTTTCTTAGGAATTTAGAACTTTGCGATTGAGTCATCTTCATAATGGTAGATAATACCCAGTAGTTTCAGTTTTTAGAGGATCTCTGCTTGTGGTGGGAAGTAGAGACCAAAGTGCCAGTGAAAGCTATTGAATAGATTTGTTTTGTCTTAAGTTAGTTTGCTTTCAATTTACTGTTTAGGAAAGATAGTATTCCCACAGCAGATTCAACTTCTGGACATGGTTAGCATCCAGGACTTGGTGGCGGGGGGATGGGGGGGGACCCGGTGGGATGGGATGGGATGGGATGGGATGGGATGGGA